GACGCGCAGGGCCTGGCACACAGCAGACATGGACTACATTTGTGGAATCAATAATAAATACATGAACAAATTAATCTGATTTAAAGTTAGCCAATTAACTTTATTAATCACATAATAGGTTTTTTAAAAATATACTTTGAAATTCTGGATCCAGAGGCAAAGTTAAAATATCTTTTTTTCCCCTCATTTTATTTTATTTTATTATGTTATGTTAATCACCATACATTGCATCATCAGTTTTTGATGTAGTGTTCCGTGATTCATTGTTTGTGCATAACACCCAGTGCTCCACGCAGAACGTGCCCTCTTTAATACCCATCACCAGGCTAACCCATCCCCCACCCCCTCCCCTCTAGAACCCTCAGTTTGTTTCTCAGAGTCCATCGTCTCTCATGGTTCGTCTCCCCCTCCGATTTCTCCCCTTTTCATTTTCCCTTCCTTCTCCTAATGTCTTCCATGTTATTCCTTATTATCATATTATCATACTTTCCTAGGAAGATAAGAATACAAATGAAAATATGATAATCTTTCATATTTATCGGAGAAAGCTTTTCCTCCATATTTTCACGGTCTCTTCTGCCACTAATCGAGTCAACAATGTTGATTTATTTAGGGGTCAGGATAATGAACCGACTGCGTATCGGCCTGTGGGCTGGGTCAGGGGCCGCGAAGGGCGTCAGCGACTCTCAGAGGCTTCCAGAACACACCGCCAGTGTTCATGGACCCCCCAAGCACTGCCATCCTCGGAACGTCTCCCTTCTTACACTGTGGCAAAATACACATCACGTAAGATTTGCCATCTTAACCGTGTTTCCTGCACAGTCCAGCGGCAGGAAGTACGTTCCTGTGGTGCAGCCACCGTCCATCTCTAGAACTTTCCATCTTCCCCCACTGGAGCTCTGACCCGTCCAACACTAAGCCCCACCCCTGCCCCGGCCGTGCTGCACACCCGGCTGTTTCTGTCTCTGGGGATGGGACAGCCGCAGGGACCTCATGCGAGTGGGTTGTGCAGTGTCTGTACTTCTGTAGCTGGCTTATCTCTCCCGTGCCCCACACCTGCCCCCTGCCCGTGGGGCATCCATCTCCTGCCCTCCCAGGCCGGGCCCCAGGGATGCCCTTCTCCCAGAGGCTGCAGCCCCTCCTGCACAACCCTGTCCGCTCCCCCCTTCCTTCATACAGGTGGTGTGAGGGTGTAGACGGTCTACACTCCACACAGTGTGTGCTGTGCTTCCATAACACACCGCAGCCCAAAACAGTAGATGCACCAATGGAGTCTCAATAGTAAGTCATTTTCGTTTGCAAAACCTGTGGGGTAAGCAAGGAAGATACTATTTCCCCCTTTGCAGCTGAACAAGCTGGCGCTCTGCGGGGTCAGGGGTATGGTGGGGGCCGCAGGTCACCGGTGGCTAGACGGTGACGCGGGCCCGGGCCGAGCCACTCAGGGTCTCTCCAGGACGCTCTCGGCCTTGTGCCTTTCTCTTGGGTTTTCACTGCTTACTTATATTTTGGTTTTCCTCATATCCAGTGGCATACCAGTAACTGGCCATCTGGGAGAAAAGATGTGGCGTTTTCTAAGCACTGCGGGGGCGGGGTTCGTGCCCACCATGGCAGGCTCACCGATTCCAGAACATTCCACGCTGAGTCGCCAGCGTGGCACCGCTGCAACCCCTCATGTCTGGTGTCGGTCCCTGCGAACTGCGGTCCTCTACCATCCCCAGGTGCCCCCCGCAGGCAGGGCCCAGATGCACAAAGGCGCGCACAGAATTCCCTGCAGGTGCGCACGGAGCAAGTAGACGCTGTGGTCCTGGGCCCGCAGGAGCCCCGCACACCCACTTGTCGTGGACAAAGCTTTGTGGGCACCCCGTGGGAACCCGCAGAGGTGTCCGCAATGAAAGCTTTTGGTAAAGGCTCCCGAAGGCCGGCCAGATCCAGGCACCGGGAAGAAACTTAGGGAGAGGCTCTGAGGGCTGAGCTGTGGTAACTAGAGGACAACGGGAGGCAAGCCCCTGGATTTCTAAGGAACAGAAAGGGACGCGCTCCGATTTTAGTATATGTGCTGCCGAAGCGAGCACAGAAAGGGACGCGCTCCGTACACGGTGCCTGAGGGAGCCGGACACTCAAGATAAAATCCCAACTCCTCCCCTTGCGGCTCGTCACTAACAGCCCGCAGCGGCCCCCATGCCCCCAGACGGGAGGACCGTCTCCTGGGCACCCAACGAAGTGGCCCCTTCCTCCTCCGAATGCCCACGGGCTCCCCGCTCACGCCTCCTGGGAACCCTGGTGTCCGTGCCCACAGCTGGTCAGCTCCTTC